AGCATAAGCAAGGTGGCGAAGAGCTGAAATGCCTTTACAAACTGCTGCTAGGCAGAGCTGAATACGATGCTCACACTTCCACGGCTCCTGACTTGCCACGCTCAGCTCACAACTCACATGAATTTGCATAAAAAACCATCCGCCACTTGCACTACGCACGATACGTCACATACCCATGGTATACCCATCTTTAAATATGTTTATCTTTGTTGTGTATTCAATACATTTTTTTTAATCCTTGAACAATATGCGTATGATAGGATCCTGGTGATTTATGTTTGCATGTATCTCGGGTTTTGTGTAAACCTTGTTAAATATTGTATGTCAACAATTGAATGTAGAAATCCCCAAACAATGGTTAAATCCATGTTTACACCAATTACACCAACATTTTCCAGCTATATTTATGCCTGAATGCACAAAAAAAACAAAAGATGCACAAGTGTTAGATAACAGTGAAATATGTCTTGGTATTTTCAAAAATACTCAATTGTTTTGATTATTTCAAAATTCAGGATTTCACAATTATTTAAGATACAAATATTAACCAATTTCACAAAGTATCGATTATCCAATAACACTTAACATACCAATCTTATTTCACCAAAAAAATATCACAAAATCTTAAGGAGGTAGTAGAGGTTTTAAAGAAGTGAAATTAACGCTATTTTTTGTCATCAAAGAATTGTTTTAAACCATATCAAACCATATATATATACATATATATATATATATATTTTGAAAGCATATAATTCACACACAATACTTTAATTGTATTTTTTTGTGTTGTTCATTTTTACATTCAGATAGCCAAAATTTCAAAATGTGTAAATTAAAAGAAAATCGCTGTAACAGTTATGTTCATATATAATACATATAACATCTCTTAACAAATGAAGAAATCACTTGAGTGCAATTGATTGAAACAATGCGAATAATATAGTCATATACAGATCCAATACAAGGAAATGGCCAAATAATAATTAATTAAAAACAGCTTATCAGAAACGTAAAATATAGCCCAGATTTTTCATTTATTAAAACTTGTCTATTATATTATTTAATTTGATTCTAGCAACAGGCATTTATCTCGAGATTTGAAATGTTAGTATATTGTCACGTATTTTAAAGATAAGTAAACTGATAATCCAGGTAATTGAAAAGAGGTAAGATTGTAAAGCCATATTTGAAAAACATTTTGCATCATTTAAAAATTGCTTGACACTGGAATAAATGAAAATATTTATAGAATAATTAAAAATATGTACAGTATTAAAATAAAATATATAAAATATA